CTGGATGGCGTCAGTCTCAAATTTCTCCTGGAATGGAACTTTCTACAAGCAAACTGAGGGCACCCCAATGGGCTCCCCCCTATCTCCGGTTGTAGCCAAGATCTTCATGGAGAAATTTGAGACTGACGCCATCCAGACTGCCACTCTACGCCCGACCTTATGGAAGAGGTACGTAGACGACACTTTTGTCATCTGGCCACATGGCAGGCCTACTCTAGACCAATTTCTCGACCACATCAATTCCATACACCCAGCCATCAGATTCACCATGGAAGTCGAAAAAGATGGCAAGCTACCCTTTTTGGATGTCCTAATCAAAAGGAGACCTGATGGTTCAATGAGCCACTCTGTCTACAGGAAAGCCACCCATACGGATGCTTACCTAAAACCGGATTCCCACCACCACCCATCCCAGAAGAATTCCCTCATCAAGACTCTATATCATAGAGCCCAATGCATCTCCAACCAGGAACACATTGCCAATGAACTCAAACACGTACGCCAAGCTCTTAAGGCTAATGGTTACTCCGACTACACAATCCGCAAAGCCATCACTCCAACCATCAAGAAGGATCCGGTTGAGGAGCCTTTCAAGACCATCACCTTACCCTACATTGCTGGGGTCACAAAAAAGATCTCCAAAATCCTGATTAAACACAAGATCCAGGTCCGATTCAACACAGTACATAAAATCCGTGATCTGGTACCGTCTGTAAAAGATGTGGTTCCAGACATACAGTACCCTGGCGTCTACAAACTAAGTTGCCTCTGATAATTGGTTTTTTACCCTTCTATCTGGCAACAAAACTGACACCTTTTTACAAGGAGTCATGTTTGCATAGACCGCAATACCTGCAGTCATAAATACAAACAAAAGACATAACTCTGATAATGTGCACTGTCCTTGAAGTTGATTGGTCCACACCCGAGACAGCTTTCCTTCGAGCCTAGTCTCACATGGGTTGGACCAGAAGACGCCAAAAGGCGCACAACTCAAAGACAATGCACCATCAGAGTATGAGAGCTCGGGGCAAGCATCTACACTATGGGGACCTCATTTGCCAGTAAAAATATGATAATTGGTTTTTTACCCTTCTATCTGGCAACAAAACTGACACCTTTTTACAAGGAGTCATGTTTGCATAGACCGCAATACCTGCAGTCATAAATACAAACAAAAGACATAACTCTGATAATGTGCACTGTCCTTGAAGTTGATTGGTCCACACCCGAGACAGCTTTCCTTCGAGCCTAGTCTCACATGGGTTGGACCAGAAGACGCCAAAAGGCGCACAACTCACAGACAATGCACCATCAGAGTATAAGAGCTCGGGGCAAGCATCTACACTATGGGGACCTCATTTGCCAGTAAAAATATGATAATTGGTTTTTTACCCTTCTATCTGGCAACAAAACTGACACCTTTTTACAAGGAGTCATGTTTGCATAGACCGCAATACCTGCAGTCATAAATACAAACAAAAGACATAACTCTGATAATGTGCACTGTCCTTGAAGTTGATTGGTCCACACCCGAGACAGCTTTCCTTCGAGCCTAGTCTCACATGGGTTGGACCAGAAGACGCCAAAAGGCGCACAACTCAAAGACAATGCACCATCAGAGTATGAGAGCTCGGGGCAAGCATCTACACTATGGGGACCTCATTTGCCAGTAAAAATATGATAATTGGTTTTTTACCCTTCTATCTGGCAACAAAACTGACACCTTTTTACAAGGAGTCATGTTTGCATAGACCGCAATACCTGCAGTCATAAATACAAACAAAAGACATAACTCTGATAATGTGCACTGTCCTTGAAGTTGATTGGTCCACAACCGAGACAGCTTTCCTTCGAGCCTAGTCTCACATGGGTTGGACCAGAAGACGCCAAAAGGCGCACAACTCAAAGACAATGCACCATCAGAGTATGAGAGCTCGGGGCAAGCATCTACACTATGGGGACCTCATTTGCCAGTAAAAATATGATAATTGGTTTTTTACCCTTCTATCTGGCAACAAAACTGACACCTTTTTACAAGGAGTCATGTTTGCATAGACCGCAATACCTGCAGTCATAAATACAAACAAAAGACATAACTCTGATAATGTGCACTGTCCTTGAAGTTGATTGGTCCACACCCGAGACAGCTTTCCTTCGAGCCTAGTCTCACATGGGTTGGACCAGAAGACGCCAAAAGGCGCACAACTCAAAGACAATGCACCATCAGAGTATGAGAGCTCGGGGCAAGCATCTACACTATGGGGACCTCATTTGCCAGTAAAAATATGATAATTGGTTTTTTACCCTTCTATCTGGCAACAAAACTGACACCTTTTTACAAGGAGTCATGTTTGCATAGACCGCAATACCTGCAGTCATAAATACAAACAAAAGACATAACTCTGATAATGTGCACTGTCCTTGAAGTTGATTGGTCCACACCCGAGACAGCTTTCCTTCGAGCCTAGTCTCACATGGGTTGGACCAGAAGACGCCAAAAGGCGCACAACTCAAAGACAATGCACCATCAGAGTATGAGAGCTCGGGGCAAGCATCTACACTATGGGGACCTCATTTGCCAGTAAAAATATGATAATTGGTTTTTTACCCTTCTATCTGGCAACAAAACTGACACCTTTTTACAAGGAGTCATGTTTGCATAGACCGCAATACCTGCAGTCATAAATACAAACAAAAGACATAACTCTGATAATGTGCACTGTCCTTGAAGTTGATTGGTCCACACCCGAGACAGCTTTCCTTCGAGCCTAGTCTCACATGGGTTGGACCAGAAGACGCCAAAAGGCGCACAACTCAAAGACAATGCACCATCAGAGTATGAGAGCTCGGGGCAAGCATCTACACTATGGGGACCTCATTTGCCAGTAAAAATATGATAATTGGTTTTTTACCCTTCTATCTGGCAACAAAACTGACACCTTTTTACAAGGAGTCATGTTTGCATAGACCGCAATACCTGCAGTCATAAATACAAACAAAAGACATAACTCTGATAATGTGCACTGTCCTTGAAGTTGATTGGTCCACACCCGAGACAGCTTTCCTTCGAGCCTAGTCTCACATGGGTTGGACCAGAAGACGCCAAAAGGCGCAAATGAGGTCCCCATAGTGTAAGTTGCCTCTGTGGTAGCAGTTACATTGGGGAAACCAAACGACATGTCTCGGACCGCATCCGTGAACACAAAGCAGACCTGAAACACGGTAGGACAAACACCTCAGCTGTGGCAGATCACTGTTACAACTCAGTGGGCTCACATGACATTGACTTCTCCAAGACAGAGGTTCTCTGCAAGCCATCTGGCTATCATGAGAGATTCGTCCATGAGGCGATCCACATATACAAACACAGAGACAATTTTAACCGAGAAGATGGATTCTGGCTTAGCAATCATTGGAAGGACGTAATAAACCATTTCGAATCTTAACTGATTGTGTTCACGTTTACGGTGACTTTCAGACCGCGTTCCACTCACTGGCATTGTATTTTCCGCAGGGAATGGATTCTTTGCTCCGCTGCAAGTTTTTCCCCCCACGACTCACCCATTGACACGACGGTCAATGGTACAGCGTATAATAACAAACAGTATAACATTTATATGCTTAATACAATGTACAAAGTAATATATAGTATCGTAATTGTATAGTAAACATATAGCAGTGTGATACACATTAGGGTGAGTAGAATAATACATAATACATAGTGTTATATTATAGCAATACAGTATATAATTTAATGTTGGGTTTATCTATGGCAGTATATAGTACGGTGTATGCTCGTGTGATGTAAGAGAATAAAGTTTAGATGGAAACATATTATATAATTTTTACGACATAGAATTGTAATGTATTACTTGCTGTTAGTAACTCAGCTTATTGTAGAGTATAGTAAGTATACTGATGGTGCTATGCAGTTTATACTTTAGTTTTTTATGTAGTTTATACTTTAGTTTTCTACGTGGTTGTTTAGTAACTGCAGCTACATACTATTAACATTCCTTTCCTTTGTTAATGCTACTCCCTGCACCCCCCTTGGTGCTGTTGATCCTGCATAATGCATGGGCATAATATGACTATGAAACACCCCCACCCACCTCCTACGCATTTCCCATGAATATGCTAAATTCCTCTTCATATGCACATTCTTTTTGTTAAGGCGCTCTTCCACCTCCAACCCAGCTTATATATAAGCTCCTAGCTTGGTAGTGTCTCATTCTTCACCTGAAGACGGCTGCTTGCGTTGTAGCCGAAACGTCGTGAGAATTATTTTATTATGTTTTATTTTTATTATTTTATTACTTCCCTTCTACGTGACTTTACCGAAAAAACCAAGAAGATGAATCCCTGCAGTCACGAAAGCTTTAAATCGAAAAATAAATAACCTCCCTAAATCAAAACCAAAACAGTCCACAATGAACTGAGATGAGGGTATGCGGCGGCGTGTCATAAAATTCTGCGTACCGTATCGTACCGCTCAATCACGCAGCTCAAGAAGTAAGAATTTACCATACAGTATGGCCACACTGGGCCGGCAGGGGGCGTTGCCTAGCAACATATGTGTCATGCTGCCGGTTCATTTTCCGCAGTGCAAAGGAGTTGCCCATCGGCAATGATGTTCGAGCGATACCAAGCAACGTTAAATGCATATGTGGGTCATAATTCATCGGCGACTTTGTAGAAAAACAACGTTAAACAGGCCTACGTTAAGTGAGGACCGACTGCATCTGCCAGTCACCTCAGTCAGTCAACCCATGGCACGTGGGCCTGTTTAATGACCTGCTGTCAGCAGGCCCACCTAGAATAGCACCTAGAATAGCACAAGCACCATGGTGACGTCACTGCCACTTATTGGCAATGGGTGATTGTAGTTGTCTTTTGTTTGTATACGGACTACATTCGTGAGCATGTGTGTTTATGTGAGCATAATTCTGTGAGCCTGCGTGTGCATATTATGTTTGTGAGCATGTGCGTGCGCATACGTCTGTAAGAGTGTAGGCCTCCTCGGCTGTGCACTCCGCCTGTGTCGTGGGGTTGCTGAGCGCGAAGATGATTGGCCGCTCGTTCAGCGCTGCCATTGCGCGGATGACATCCGGCGTGAAGAGCCGCCCGGCACCGGCCACTCCTGCCAACGCGAGGATGAGGACAAGGGCACGATGGGAGGTGGGAAAAGACAGCAGGTGAGGTGAAGGTGGCCAGGCAGGTGGGCAGGTGAGCGAGCAAGCGGGAGGATGAGCGGGCGGGTGAACGGGAGGGCGAGTGGGGTGGTCAGGTCAGCAGGATGATGAGCGAGCAGGTGAGCATTCGAGCAGGAGGGTTTGTGGGCAGGTGAGCGGGAGAGTCAACGGGCCTGTTTTGTTGCGGTGAGTGTGGGGCCGTGTGTACGACCATTACCGATGATAGCCGTTGGCTTCAGCTGCTGTACCGCATCCAGGAAGGAGGTGACCGGCTGAGGGGGTGGCGCGTGGGCAAATAGCTCCTGGTTATGGTCGATGCCGGCTGCTCGGCCCTGAGGGCGTGCAGAGGACGGACACAGTACGGTCACACAACAGGACACGCATAGGTTAAGAAACAGGCATGTCGTTGGTCACACAATAAACACATGGTGGTCACGTCATGGGTCACACTGCAAAGGCTCAGCAGTCACATGATGGTCGTGAGATTAAATGTGGCAATCACACGTGTGTCATGTGACGGTCACGTGACGGGAACACTCAATGGACACACAATGGATAAACATGCATGAAGGACCTGTGTAGAGGACAATGGATGTGTCACAGATACTCTGAGATCATAGGGTGGACAGGTGTCTGGGTGGATCAGAGCCCAGAGCACTGAGCCAGCACCATATCCTGGGTTTGAATCCAGGCAGTTGCTGCTACTGCCTGTGATTGAACTGAGCTGTCAACTACAGGAATACCTTGGTTATCGGAGCCTCTGGCAATGAAGCTCCTTTATAACGAAGTCAACTTAACACGATTTCACACAATTTTAGTGGAATTTTCCAGAAGCGGAATTTTTCACCATGTTCCCGTGTACAGTACAGTACCCAAGCATGAGGCAATACAAGCGTCGCAGGCAGCGAGCAGCAGCAGCTAGCCACCCCACTCAGTCTTTGTTCCGCCTCATGCTAGCTCAGACGTGCGCGCGGTTAATATCGCAATTCTATACATTTGCATTTACATTCGTGATGGCTGGTAAAGGTAAGAAACGTGGTGGTGATGCTTCTAGTGGTAGTATAAGTAAGAAAATAAGAAAAGTGGTAACATGAGAGCAAAAACTTGATGTGCTTAAGCGTTATGAGAACAATGAGCGCACATTGTAATATTGTCCATGCTACTGGCTTGCATGATGGTACACTGCGAACCATCCGACGGAATTTATAATTGCAGGTTTAAAACCTGAACAATATAAATGTGTTATTTATGTACAAAAACGTTCGAATTTGTTAAAAGTGTTAACTGCACTGATCCGTTTTTCATTCTTACACTTTTTCGCTCTCTCTTCACTCCACCCATCACAACTCACAAGCGCAGACGACAGTATTCTTTACTTTAGGTTACCTTCATCATTGTTTCTTTTCTTTTTAAATGTTATTCGTGCATAAAATATACATAAAAAAGGAAATAATGAAAGCACTAACCAAAATATAGTCATAATAAATTAATAAAAATTATACATTTGTCGATCGAGTTTGGGGGCTTGGAACGCAACTCCCCCTTTTTACATATATTTTTTGTGGGATATGAGTGCTCAATTAACACTATTTTACCTTCCACAAAGATTTTCAAGAACGCATTTATCGTGTTAATCGGGGACTACCTGTACCGTATATTATTCGGTGTTTAGTTAATAAACAGGCTACTTAGTTAAGCTACGATGAGTCTGACCGCGTCCGCGGTTCCTCGAGCCCCCTATTTCCCTTAGGCCCCTATACTTTAAGAACCGTGGGTTTGTCTACCGCAGCCTTTTCCAGGAACCTAACCCCCTGCGGTTGGGAAAGGATTTCTGTATTTGAATGTAATACCTTTGTTGTAATATGAAAGTGTGTTTTGCTGTGTATTAAAATGCAAGTGTATAGTGTTGTAACGTTAATGTACCATACTGTTCTATATGCGTGAGCTTGTACATAGCTGTTGGACAACAAGAAACTATTTTTATACTCTTTGGGTCTTTCGGTAATTTCACGTAGATAGAAAAATAATAAATAATAAATCACGGCGTTTCGATCGCAACACTAGCAATCGTCTTGAGGTGAAAAAATACAGCACGCGGACTGCTGAGGCATGAAGAAATATAGCGAGAGAACTACTGCAGCCAAAGTTTATATAGGTTTGAGATGGGTACAACCCAAGGGTAAGTGGGCGGGGCTAGAGATGGAATTTGCAAGTAAATGTAAGATCGCAGAACTAGGTATACCTCGGTTATTGTGTTGCTAGAGATTAGCATGTATTGCTCGAGATTAGAGATTAGCATGTCAATGTGAGATGGCTCCCGCAGCAGCGGCTGTGTTAATGAGAGACATTCAGCCTATTAAACGAGCCCCACCACCGCATCGAGGAAAAGGGAGCAGCAGCTATGTTAGTGAGACATTTAGCCTGTTAATGTAAAGGCATTTAACAAGGTAATGTAACTCAGAGAGTCAGAAATAACTGCTAACATAGGCAGGTAGGCTGGAAGCATCACAGCCAGTTATGACTTCACCTGGTTAATAACGTCCTTCCAATGATTGCTCAGTTTGTACCCATATTCCTCAATTGAAATTGTGTCTGTGTTTATATATCTGGATGGCTTCATGAACAAATCTTTGTTGATAGCCAGTGGGTTTGCATACTACCTTCGTCTTGGAGAAATTTATTTCATGTGTGCCCACAGCGTTAAAACAGTAATCAGCCACGGCAGAGGTGTAGGTCCTACCGTGTTTCAGATCCACCTTGTGTTCGTGAACACGGTCCGAGACATGTCGCCTACTTTCCCCAATGTAACTACTGCCGCAGGCACAGCTTAGTTTGTAGACACCGGGGTATTGCATGTGTAGAGGTGTAATTGCGCATGGTTACGAATGTTGAGGTGTGATTATGCATGGCCACGGATGGCCAACAAACACAAGGGGCGGGGTTACGGCCGTACACAAGGGTGGCGCTCGCACCGACGTCCGAATGTGCATCCCCCACGGGCCCCCCCTCGGGGGGAGTCCTATAAAAGGTGATGAGCTCGAGGGCTCGAGGGGGGGACTCAGCTTTAACCAGAGAAGACGGAAGACCTGCTAGTGTAGGCCCCAGAGCTCCCCTGGCTCGCTGTCCTTATAAGGGCCGACCAGGGCAAGCCGGTGGCGTGGCCCCGAGAGCCCAGACGAAGCTGGTCTGGTGACTCAGGGAGCCGGGATCCCAGCTTAACCAAGCTGGGACAGATAGCCTCCCCTAGTCCCGTAGTGGAGGAATTGGTATAGGTTAGAGGGGTTAGCTGTCGAGAAATCCCTGTAGCCCAGTGACCTGTAATAACTGTGTTGGTGTAATAAATAAGTGTGCCTCCGATCCTGTCGTCAAGCCTCCATATACTTACTACATCTGGTGTCAGAAGTAAAACGTCCAAACGATGGACACACGAGGGACGACACGTACCAAGGAGTCGGAGATGGAAGACGCCGCGGCCGAATCAACACCAGAGATGGCCGGGGTCGGATCGGAGCAGCCGGGGCCGAGTACGCCCGCGCCGCTACGACAAGAGGGGGGGGATGCGTCGGCTGAAGGACTCCGGCTGGCCCACTCCCGCCTGGCGGAACTGCTCTACGCCGCGGCCGCTGCGTTGGAGGAGATCACGCGGCTGGGGGCTGGAGGGGCAGCGCGGGTCGACGACAGCAGCCGGCGCGCGGCGACGTTTCCCGCCACCCCGACGCGGCTGGCGGTTAAATTTCCCGCCATCTCTACAGTGCGAGCGGACGGCGGGGCCGGCCCGCGTCACGTGACTGCTGAGCGCCAAGCACAAGCCGTGACATCATCAACACCGGCCGGCGCGTCAACATCGGAGCGACCGGCGATGCCATGTGCACAGCCCGCCCACACTGTATCATCGGCGGGGAGCGACGGAGAGCGATCTACAGCCACGGACGTCGCCTTGCAGCAGCGTCTGCCGCCTCTGAAAGAATTCGTAGGCGCAGACGGAGACTGGGGCGGCTTCAAGAGGCGGTTCATCGCTCATCAAGAGATGGCGAACTGGACGGACGCCGAGGCTCTACGCGCGCTGCCGGCGATGCTGGACAACGACGCTCTGGCTACCCTCACCTCGGCGCCTAGGGAAAAGCGCGCCACTCTACACCTGGCGTTGCAGCTGCTGTCGGCCGTCTATGGGCCGCCTTCGGACTGCAGGCAGCTGTTCCACGATCGGCATCGGGGTGCTAACGAATCGCCCCTGGCCTTCCGGACGGCTCTCCTAGCCCTGGCAAAGGCTGCTTTTCCAAGGATGGACGAGGAAGGAGTGGATGCCATGGTAGCTGAGAAGCTGCTGCTACTCGCTGATGAGCTGGACGTCAACGTCCTGGCTCAAGACGACGCGGAGATGTCGTCCCTGCTGATCGCGCGCCACATACACGGGGGCTTGCGGTCCCTACGTCGGAAGGCGGCAAAGGGAGCGGCCGGCCATGCCATGGTGGCCACCGCCCTCCCGTCGGAGGAGGTCTGCGGGGTGGAGCGGCGAGGGGAATGGAGATCGGCGGCGCCACAGGCTCGGAATGGACCGAGTCGCCAGGAGCAGCCCAGGACATCGGGGGCGCTCACACGCTGCTACAACTGTGGCCTGCAAGGCCACGTTGCGTCAGGATGCCGGGCTCCCCGTCAGCGCGGGGCGACACCTCGCCAGGACGCCACGCCGTCTCCTCGCAAGCTCCAGCAGAGAAATACGGCGAGTCGCGGCACCTCACACGTTTGGCCCACACACACATCCGACACACACTCACGCGCTCAACTAAACAGGGCTCCAAATTCCCCGTCCGTCGCGCGCGATTGTTCGGTAATGCGGCGAGCGCTCCAACCAGGTCAGTGGTCGGAGCTCGCCCATCGTGTTGTTGCTGCGTCGGCGGGATCATCGGTTGTGGTCGGTCACATTGATGGGGTAGAGGTGCGGATTTTAATTGACACAGGGGCATCGGCGACCATTATATCTGATTTGATTTATAACATCCTTCCCGTTCAAAGTCGTCCCTTGCTCCCTGTTGACGTGCCATGCTATGCTGCTAACGGGGGCTCGCTGGGCATTATGGGGCAAATCCGCGCCACTATCTGCATCGGAGACATTAAATTATCCGGCCCTGTTTTGGTTTCCTCCTCACTCGCGGTTCCGTGCCTGTTGGGGACGGATTTCTTGGCCAAAATGCCCATCCGTATCCTGATTGACCAGGGGTGCATTGAGCTCCCATCGGGCCGACGCGTTACTTTTTTGTCTTCCCCCACCACGGAGCGTCGGGCGTTTGCCACCGTGCAGGCGCTCGTGACAAAAACTGTGCGCGTACCTCGG